CTCTTTGTACACTTTTAGGCTACATCAGTCAGACATAAAGATTTCTCTTTGGGGAGGCTAACAGGTGGTGTAGTGGTTAAGGTGCTGGACTCCCACATGGTTGACCACAGTTCAAGCCCCAAACCCAGAGACTTGAAACCCACTCCAGGAGTGTGTGCATGCGAGGAGAATGGAGGAGATGGGACTGTGGCATGGCTACCTGCTGGAGTGATTTCTCACTTTCCCTCTCTCTGCATCTGTGGCTAGTACATGTGCCCTATAGCAAAAATTTCTCAAAAAAAAAAAATTTCACTTTGGAAGTGGACAATTCTAGGAAGCAAGTGCCCCTGAAAACTAGCAGTTCACAAGAATGGCAAGAGAGAAACCAGTTCTCCCAGGACATCCTTGGTGAAATTTCTGTTGTTTAGTATCCAGAGCTATTGGCAGGGAGAGTAGAACCTGTGCCAAGCCTCTGGGCCTTACTCTCTATCTTCTTAGAAATTCCATGAGCTGCCAAACAATCTTATCAAATTTACAATATTTTAATTTGGGCATGCAGGTGGCATGGTGGTCAAGGTGCTGGACTCCCACGTGGCCAATGTGGTTCAATCCCTGAACTCAGCAGCTTGAAAATCACACTGGGCATGTGTGCATGAATGCCCAGAATCTCACGAGGTGAAGGGATTGCAGCATGGCCATCCCTTTTGGGGGGAAGGGGATGGTTTCTCACTTTCCCTTTCTCTGTCTTTGTCTCTTTCTGGTGAGCACAACACACCCTATGGCAAAAAACTAAAAAATAATAAAAATAATATTTTTGTTTAATTTTAAACAAAATTATATATTTCATATTAGCAGCCATGAGTCCTAACTGGTACATGTGTGAGTGTATGCTATAGGACCAGACAAGGGCTGGGCAGTTTGTGGCTAATCGAGCTCATGGAAGAGTAAATCAAGTGCCTAGGAGAAAACTAGTGCCCAACACAGGCAAAGTGAGGATCAGTGTCAAATGCAAACATGGAGCCTAGAGCTGAAGGAAGAACCAGGAAGCCAAGGGTACTGGTTGGTGAAAGGAGAGGAAGGCAGAGGAGACTGAAACAGATGAAGATGGTAGCTCAGTCCTCTGCCTGGCCAGCAGTGGCACCACAGTAAGTAACACTGTTCTGCAATGGCAGACCCACATGGGGCGGTCCAGGCTTTGTGTCCCAGGGTCTCCTGCATGTGCCAGGCACACGTTTGCCTGTGATGTAGGCTGGCTGAGGCTGGGGGGGGGGCGTGAATCAGAGTGTGAAGACCCTGGGGTGGGGGGCTCTGTCCCGGTGTCTGTCTAGAACTCTCATTCAGAGAAGAAATCAATAAACTTAACAAGACTCCTTTGAGTAGATCGGCAGTTGAGTGACATGTAGAAGCTGAATGGCCTAAAAAAGGAATAGAAAACTAGACAGTGCTCTAACTCGGGCCTTCATTTTTCTTCCCTGCAGTATGTTCTTTACATCAAAAATCATTTGGGGCCATTATCATTGTCCTACTTTGGAAAATCATTGTTGGTCCTCACTGCCTGCCACATCGCAGAACTCATTGGCCTGTCATTTCTGATCTCCCTTATCTAGGTCAATCCATCTCTAAATTATTCCTCATTAATCACTTCAGACTTTATGGCAGAGCTAACAAGCTATTCTGTATTTCTTTGGACATGCATTTTTTTTCCCCACACGTGTGCTATTCTTTCTGCCTGAGAAGCTCTCCCTGTCGCATCTCGCCACACCCAAATTGCTCTATTTTCCGAAGCCCATTTCAAATGCCACCTTTCTTTCTCAGGTGCAGTATTTTCTTCCTGCACCACATTAACTGTTCTCATGTTACTTTTTGCTTTCTATCTTGCATTACAGTTTTTCAGGCATATGCTTCCATTTCTTCTAAGAACCCAGAAGCTCACTTGGGCAGAATTCTGGGCAGAGTGCCTTGTATATTACAGGTGCCCAGAATGATCCTGAACACAGGGTCCGATGAAGCCACCTCTGACACACCAGTTCCTATAAAACCTATACCAGTGATGACGGCCTTAGGTGTGGTAGGAAAAGTGCAGACTTTTATATTAGACAAGCAGGAGTTGGAGTCACAACTCTGTCACTGACTGACAAAGAATCTTTCGACACACTGCTGAATCACCCACAGTAATTATTAATGTGGAGATAATGATGCTTACAACAGGATTATTCTGAGAATTAAGTAAGGTTCTAGAAGCTATGTAGTATAATTCCTGTCACAAAGGAGATATCCATAGTGATTTTTTTCTCCTTTAGTGTTCTCTTCTCCAGCCTTAACATCTCTTTTTTCACATATAATTTCTCATGTGACAGGGTTTATTATCAACATCACTTTAGCGACATCACTTTTTTTTTTTAATTATTTATTTATCTACTTAATTGTTGTGATTTTCAAGCCACTGGATCCAGGTCTCAAACCACAGTCGGCCTTGTGGGAATCCAGAACCCTAAACACCACACTACCTGCTGGTCCTCAACAGCAGTCTTAAAAATTTCAAGAAATCAGGCCAGCAGGTGGCATGGTGGTTAAACGTGCTGGACTTCCACATGGCCGACCATGGTTTGAGTCCCAGACCTGGTGGCTTGCTTTCTCTGGGAGCATTACTTGCTATACTTTCAACATGATACGTCTATATTTTTAGTACAAGATAGCTATACTACACTTACAAAATGTTTAACTTTGTGATAAACTAAAATCTTCAGTTTTTAAAGCAACTTACCTCTAAATCACATGTCCATAATTGAACCTAAATGCAAATATTTCCACTTATCTCTGTTAATTTTCAACTACTTTATTTAAGCTCAGAATTTTACCTTAAAAAAATCTCTTTCAGCCTCGATTTTAATAATCACTAATAAAGTATGGGGGAGGATGGTGGGAGGGATATCAAGTAATAACTTGAGGCATTCTCCTTACTCCGACTTAATTGCAAAGTAAACATTTCCCACGGTGATCTGTAATGCAGGCCAGCATTTGTGTCAATGTGGAGGAAAAAGGATGACTTTTGCACTTTGCCTTTGCCAATTATAGCCACATGAGTAATTAAACTTCAACAAGCTCAGTAGTTGAATATTAGAAGTACACTTTTTTTCTTCCAGATTTTTGCCTCAGGGTGTGTGCACTCACTTGCCAGAGAGAGACAGAGAGAAAGTGAGAAATCATCCCCCAGGAGGAATGCCCATGCCACGATCCTTTGTTCTCCATTTCCCCATCAGGATTTTGGGCATGCACATATACACCCAGTATGATTTTCAAGCCGCTGGGTCTAGGGCTTAAACTGTGGTCAGCCATATGAGAATTCAGTGCCATAATCACCACACCACCTTCTGACCCCCAAATTCTTCTGTCTTTTACTTTTTTATTGCATTATCCCACTAACAGCTCTGCCAAAAACCTTTGAGAAGCACTTTTGCAAAAAGCTAAGAAATGTAAGTTTCTTAGATTCTATACATATAGAATTATATTGTTCTTTGAGAATATGTAAAATAAGCAAAGTAATCTAAATTTAAAAACGTTTACTAAGTTTCTTCTGAATAACTTCATATAGGAGGCATGACTGAAGTTTTTCTCATTAGAAATTTATAACAGGGACCAGCAGGTGGCTTGGTGATTAAGCCACTGGAGTCCCACATGGCTGACCATGGTTTGAGTCCTGGACCCGGCAACTTGCTTTCTTGCTTTTACTTTCTCTCTCTTTCTGGTTAAATCAAATAATAATAATAATAATGAATAAAATTAATAATTCTTTTTAAAAGTTTATATTAAGTTCAGTGGTTAAAGGAGCCAACCGTTATTCAAATTCTGGCCACAATGGCTTGAAAAACTCACTGGGTACATGTGCATGCATGTCCAAAATCCTGACTGGAAGGAGGGATGGAAGAAAAAGGGTTGTGGCATGACCACAGCACATTTGGAAGTGCTTTTACTCTTCTCTCTCTGTCACAGTTTCTCTCTCTCTCTCTTTCTTGTGGATACATGTACCTCTAGCAATAAAATAAAAGAGAACAAAAAGATACTTAACAGAAATAGTATGTGGGAGCTTCCTATTTTCCCTTATAAAATGGTCTAAATGTTTGTGTTCCCCCCAAATTTATATGTTGACTTCTTAATATTCATATGATGTAAGTACTTAGAGGTGGGAGATAATTAGGTCATTAGGATAGAGTTCTCATGAATAAGTGCCCCTTTAAGAAGAGACCAGAGACCTAGTTACCTCTCTGCATGCCATGTAAAGACTCAGCAAGAAGATGACCCTGTGTGTTCCAGGAAAAAGGTAGTCATCAGAATACCACCCTGATTTTGAACTTCCAGGCTCCATGGCTATGAGAAATAATTGTTTAAACCACCCTGTCTCTGATAGCTTGTTATAGCAGTCTGAACCAAGACATAGCAGTAGAAAGCATACATATGTCAAATGTAACTTCAAACAGAATGATATAAAGTAATAAAAAGAAACTTTTGAGGCATAAAATTTTAGTTAAAGTAAAATAAATGTAATAGAGTGAAGAAGAAAAATTCTGATAATAAATAGATTTTTAAATCTCTTATAAGCCCTGAAGTTCACGGCTTCCTCCTTCCTGCTTCCGGTCTGGCACCACTATGTATAATTTAAACCTTTCAGAAGTGTATGGTGGATCTAAGAAGATGATAATCAAGGGTCATATGAAGTTGTGGCGGCTCACCAATAATTACAGACCAGTTAGAGATCATCTCTCAACCTAAGTTTTCCTAACCACTACAAGGATGTTTGACATAAGGGCTCAAGCTGAATGTATTGTGGAATGGGCTGCAAAGGACCCGTATGGCTTTCTTCCAACAGTTATTCTGGCCCTTATCCCACTCCACTGTCCTAGCAGGTGCTGTACTGTCTGGGAAATTGGCCAAGGTGATTGAGGCCAGGGACAAGGAGCAAAAGAAGAAATAAAAACATCAAAAAAATATTGCAAGAGCTAAACAACTAAAAAAGGATTGAAGGAATGAACAGGTTCTTCAACCAGCGGCAAATCATTTCGGAAATTATGCAGCTTTGGAAGGATTCGTTAAATGTGTCTTCTTTGGGGGCTGGCAGGTAAGTGGTGTGGTGGTTAAAGGTGCAAGATTCTCACATGGCCAACTGCTGTTCGAGTCCCGGAACTGGTAGCTTGCTTTCTCACTTTCTCTCTCTCTCTCTCTCTCTCTCTCTGTCTCTGGTCAAACTAAATAATAATAATAATAATAATAATAATAATAATAATAACAGCAGCAACAACAACAAAGTACTAAAATAATTCTTTAAAAAAAAAAGATTTGGGGGGCCAGCAGGTGGCATGGTGGTTAGGGCGCTGGCCACTCCCATGTGGCTGAACATGGTTCGAGTCCTGGACCTGGTGGCTTGCTTTCTCACTTTCCTTCTCTCTCTCTGCCTCTCTCTGGTCAAATTAAAATAAAAGCATGAATAAATAAAATAAAATAATTCTTTAAAAAAAAGGCTTCTTCTTTGGATTTCATGACAGTATTATTTAGTAATGAAATCTGATTGATCATAAGAAAAAATCATGTTCTGATCTCAATACTGTAGTAACTTTTAGGTTTAGGTGTAGTTCATTGGTGTCTGTTGGCAATTCCTGTGAATTAGCATTTATTGTGGCATGAAATCTTTGTACTGACTGGGTCATTTGCCATTCTGCAGCTTGCATACTGAAATTAAAACATCCTGAGAAAAAGACAAGATGATGAACTCCATTCAAATAATGATTTAAAATGGGCTCCTATTCCGGACAAAAGAAACTAAGAATGCAGGGGCCAGCAGGTGGCATGGTAGTTAAAGGCACTGGATTCCCATATTGCTGGCCATGGTTCGAGTCTCAGACCTGGTGGCTTGCTTTCTCACTTTCCCTTTCTCTCTCTCTGGTCAAATTTAAAAAATAAATAAAACTACAAATGGAATTAAATAAATTTGAAAAAGAAATTAAGAATGTAAAAGTCCTAATTGTCATCGCCAAGGTGAAAAGTATACTTTGGCTGAAAAGAGATACAGTACGTTAATCACAACTTTTATCATCACTGCTTATTTCTTGAAATAGAATCACTTCTGCCTTTCCCAAAGTAAAATAATCTTAAACAAAAATAATTAATATTTTCTGCATTTTTCTGATTTTAGCCTTTGAGACAACTGGTAATTATCAAGACATTCTACATTTTTTAAACCTAATTTTATAAAGAATTACCTTGACTATGTAGAGTACCACCTACTAGAGATAACAGTTTGTGTACTTAGGAACACTGCCCCTTTCTTAGAGATGACTCGTTGAGAAGAGTAACAGTATGCTTTAAAGCTTGCAGTAAAAATGTCAGATGCTGTAAGTACCTTGGAACCTCTCCTGTGTTTAGGAGAACTATGAAATAGTCAAATGTTTTAATCAGGTAATGTCCTGATATAAATGCACCCCTTTCGTTTCATATTCCATTCTTCCTTTTATCTCAGGTAATAGTGATATCTTATATTTTTTATCAAGTAGGTTCAACGTGAAAATTTAAATTTCCAATCTCTTTTAAATAACTCTTAATTATTCTTCATAATGGTAAGAAAGGCTTAAATTTGGAAAAATTTTGTTGACTATAGTGGTAATTATGACAAAATGAATATGAACTATACTTAGAGGTAAAAAGCTAAAGGATGTATCTTTGAGTTGTGAAACTGGAACTTTTTACTGTTAAACATGGCTTTTATACACGCATGGTCCAGTAATTTTATTCACTGCCAGTATTTAATAGCTTATTAATGTCTTCCGCACCTCTCATAATATACTTTAAGTTACAAAATATTGTTCAACAATTCTAATTTAAAAATGAAACTAAGTACTGAAATTAATTTGACACTTTTTTGTAAAGAAAAAAAATCTCTTATAAGAGAAAAACTGAGGGAACAAATGAGACTAAAAACTAAATAAAAAAATATTATAAGGACCAGCCCTGTGGCCTAGTGGTTAAGGGAACTAGAAACCACATGGCTGACTATGTGGTTTAAATCCCAGGTCTGATGGCTTGAGAAGAATGCCACGCATATGTTCCTGTGTGCCCAGGTTCCTGACAGACTAGAGAAAAACAAGAAATTGCAGTATATCCAACCCCACTAGGAGGTGCTTTCTCCTTCTCCCACTCTCTGTTCTCTCTGGTGAGCACATATGTCCTCTAGCAAAGATGAATGAAAATATTTTTAAGAGAACAAAAATAGAATCCAGCAGTTGGTGTAATGGCCGTCGCTGGACTCCCATGTAGTTGACTGCGGTTCAAGTCCCCGACCCGGTAGCTTAAACTCATGCCGGGTACATGTGCACGCGTGCCCAAAATACCGAGAGGAGAACAGAGGAGAAGGGATTGCGGCACAGCCATCCCCACTGGGGGGTGATTTTAACCTATAAAACATCAATTTCTTCAGGCTTATTCTAATAAAATTAAAGAGTGGGCCAAAAGATGAAGGGCATTTCCATATATTCTCTTTATCAATAAATCTCTTTTGACATTTACAGAACCTTATCATGTTTAATATGATGAAATGTAGGTTAGGTTTGACTGAGCCATCTTTCTTTCTCTCCACATGCAGACAAGAGACTTTTTTTTTCCTGGCCACAGGATGTGTGCCCTTCTCAGAGACAGAGAGAAAGAGAGATCTTCCCATGGGGCATGGTCATGCTGCAATCCCTTCTCCTCCATCTCTTCCTCCTTGGGGGATTTTGGACACATGGCTGCCATGTTTCTCAAGCATCCGGAACTCAAACCACAGGATCAGCCACATGGGATTTGACTGCCTTTACCACCAAGCCATGGAGCCAGCCCAAGTGACCCTCTTTCCTTCATCCAGCTCATGCTCTCATTCTCCATTATCGCTATTAAGAAGTAGTGGAACCATGCCTCTAACAGAATGTCATCCTGCCCTACTAACTTTTCTGGCAATATAACTTTCAATCCCCATTAAAGCTCTACCTATTGTTTTGTACTGAATCAACTTTTACTACATTATGAGAAAAAAGAAATACTTGGAATTTTGACTCTTCTTGTTTCAGAGGTAGAAGCAATCATAGCAACCACTTAGTCTAAGTCCCAGATAGGGGACATTGCTGATTGCTGGTTCTGTCTGCCAGGCCAATTTTCACCTAGTCTTCTACCCTCCCCAAAACTGCCAATGTGCTTTGGGAATGAGTTTGATTTAGCAGCAGGGATAATCTCATTCATTCAGGAATCCAGACCTAAGCTGATCAACATGGTTAGGCTCTGCCATTAAAATGACTGTTATAGGCTGAACTGTGATTTCTCAGATCTGAATGTTGACATCCTAACCTTAGTATCTCAGAATATGACCATATTTAGAAAGTGTTTTTTTTTTTTTAACTTGACTTTATTTATTTATTTTGATTTGACCAAAGAAGGACAGAGTGAGAAAGAAGGGAAAAGTGAGAAAGCATGCTGCCAGGTCTGAGACTTGAACTGCAGCTAGTCACGTGGGAGTCCAGTACCCTTAACCACCAAGCCACCTACCAGCCCCAGAAAATGGATCTTTAAAGAAATAATTAAGTCAGTGAGGTCATTGGGTGAGCCCTAATCCAATATGACTCACGTCCTCAAGAGAACAGGAGATTAGAACACAGATACATGCAGAGGTTATGCAAAAACAGAAAACAGCCCTCCCTAAGCCAACAAGAAAGGCCTCAGAAGAAACCAACCCTGCTGACACTTGGTCTTGGACTTCTCACCTCCAGAACTGTGAGAAAAAGAACTTCTGTTGTTTAAACCACCCAGTTGTGGTACTTTGCCAGGATAACCCTAGTAAACTAACACAATGGGATTGGACAATAGAATGAGATCTAATTTGAGCCAACCAGTGGGAAATTGTTTTGAAAATTCCTAAAATAGAATATTCTTTGTTTAAAAGAGAGCACCAAAAGAGATTCTTTTTCTTGATGTTTTGAGGTGTGGCTGCAAATCTTTTAAATTCTGGAGTTATTTTTTCATCAATAAAGACATCACCTTGAGGTTAGGCCAACAATATTCATTGATGGGCATAGCCAGGAGAATTGCAAAAATGAGCTGGAATTATTGGATTATACCAACTGCAAATTCTACTGCTCAGTCTCTGTAGTTTTAGATAGGTGAGACAATAAATTTCCTGAGTTCTTTAGGTGAGCATGTTTCCAGTTACTTACATTCTGTGTTATATTTGATGTTACTTACACCTTCATTTTACAGAGGGAAAATGAGTCCTCTTCAAATTTAAATGTCTTGTCTAATGTATCGGAATATAGATTACCTGATACAAAATAATTCTCTTTCTTCAAAGACTGAGGGTACAGACATAATTATTAGGAACATTAAGAAGAATGATGGGCCAGCTGGTGGCACGTGGTTAAGATAGCTGGATAACACATGGCTGACTGCATGGTTTGAATCCTGAGCCCAACAGCTTGGAAAATACACTGGGCATTTGTGTGTGTGTGCCCACAATCCTGAGAGGAGAGTGGAGGAGAAGGGATTGTGACATGGCCATCCCCTCTGAAGGGTGATTTCTCTCTCTCTCTTTTTCTTATAAATACACACACCCTATAGAATATTTTTTAAGATAAAGCGTAACAGTTTTATGAATAGGATAAAAAAGATTTTCACTCTTATGTGATCAATCCAAGAAGACTGAAGTGAAGAGAATGGAAGTATTGGAAAAGGAGAAAACGCTGTACAAACTAGCTTTTTGTGTCCTTAAGTCAATTTTGGTGTCCTTTCTTCTAACCCTATCTTTAGTTTCTCTGGCAGGGACTCTACTCAACACTTTTCTTTTGTATTTCTGTTATTGCTTTTCCTTCTCAAGATACCTGTGCTGTTTCATTCTTCTACCTGGCATGTCCCTAATGCACCTTTGCACAGCTTGGAATGCCTCAACATCTTTTTTTTTTTTTTTCTTTTGGAGAGGTTTTTGCTATAGGGCATGTGTGTTTGCCAGAAAGACAGAGAAAGACAGAGATAGAAAGCAAGAAATCACTCTCCAGGGGGATGGCCACACTGCAATCCCTTCTCCTCCATTCACCTCTTGGGATCTTGAGC